TTTCTATCAATGACTTATAAATTTGTAGTATTAAATTTTATTTTTTTGAGATTGCCAAAATATATAAAAGATACCAAAAATCTATAAATTGCAATTTTTGTTTGGCCACCTTAGAAATTAATTATATTTATTTGTGGTTAATATTAGTCTATGGATGACAGTGCTCTTCAAATAACGTCATGGCATACGTCTTTTGCAACTGAAAGTGGCAATAATTACAATTTTTTTTATTTATTTTTTTTTTTTTTCAAATATGAAAACATACATACATATATCACTCGTCACATCTTGAAACGTCACTTTATTAAATATTTAATGCATGAAATTGGTCTTTCATCAAGGAAAACAAACAAACTCCACGAGAGATCGTTGCATCATTTATGAAGATCAATACAGAATACTCGATCTGTGTACAGTAAACAAACGTGTCTATTTAATTCATCCCACTCTTTCGACAAAATTTCAATATTGGTCCTATAATTTATTACATCCTACTATATATTTCGGCAAAAATTATAATTTGGTCGAAATCTAATTTCTCACTCTGGGATTGTGAAGATTGCCGGAAGGCCATGTAGAGGTGGCCAACTGCCGGACCGCGACCCGGCCCATTATGCCGGGTCGGCGGGCCTCAATATCATAGCTCGTGATACTGGACCGAACTGCCGGTTCATCGACCCGGTACGATTCTTGAATCGGACAAAAATGGCCAGTCGTCCGACCCGTGGCCCGAACCGGCGGGTAAAACAAAAAAAAAATGAACTGTGGACCAAACCGCGGCCCTTAGCATGCCGGTTCAGGGCCGGGCCGATTCAACCCATGGACATGTCTAAGGTCATGGTAGCAAAGAGGACGACGACGATTGTGACAAAGTTGGCGACGTTGTTGATGCCCTAGCGGGTGGAGCTCTCGGAGCTCCATCGCGTTGTCGTTGACGTTGCGGTTCGTCTTGCTGGAAATTGGGAGTGCTCGTCGGAGTTAGGCGGTCGTCAGTGGGCTGAGGGTGGCCGGCCGAGTTGGCTGATGTGGCAGGTATCGGACTGCATAAAATGGACGGCGAAAAATATGCATGGTGGCGACGAATGCGGTAGTCGTCGGTTTTGGAGATGGTGGACATTGTTGGCGGCACGAGGAGTCCGGAGGAGTCCTCGGATTTCGATGGGTCCCCGTGAATCGCCCAAAATTTGAAAGAGACTGGATTTTGACCAAAATTTTCTAAATTTAAAAACATTGATAAGAGCAACTGACGGTCCCCGTGAAAAATGAGGACAAGCAACGCTTAAAGATGATGTAATAATTTTCTGGATGGAAGGTGGTCAACCGATGGGTGGCGAACAACGGCGGCAACGGCTACAGGCGACGGTTGATCCTGATGTGTTTTTTTTTTCACGATTTGTGAAATTGAGTGTTGAACAAGCCGATTTATGTTTAAGAAATCCTTTTTTGCCTTCTCTAATTTGGTCTTATAAACTAAAATCATGTCATGTCAAATTAAAAAATTATCACATCATGGCACTTCATCGTCTTTTATTCAAAATTGATAAAAATGATTAAAATTAAGGAAAATGTCAAATTATCGGACCAAGTTTGAAGGTGATGAATGATATATTGCAAAAATAAATGTGGCCAAATTATAGACAAATTTTTAATTATTGTACACTTGTAATCATTATTAAGTGATGCAATGTCATCATGAGTCTAAAGTGAGTGAGGTTATAATTTGTAAATTATGAATAATTTCTGTAGCAATCCATGGACAAAAAGACATTGATACTATGTTGAATGAAAAACAATAATAATAAGAAAAAAAAAAAGTGTGATCAATTGATTTGGGCGCACTTGCAAGAAAAACACGTGGTTGGTACAATAATTGACACTTCAATAAATAGTAAATTTTGATATCATAAACGATCACATCTCATTATCATAAAATGAAACACGAAACTCAAGAGCGCTTGGATGGTCTCTTCCAGTTTAATCAGTGGTCTCGTGTTCGAGCTCTGGAAATACAGTATTGTTAAAACTCTTGAGGGAGAGTTTTGCCGCCCTTGTGGTCCTACTCGATTCGATTCCGGATTAGTCGGTTTCTCCGTGGATCCGAAAAACGAAAGATCCATATACCAAAATAAAAATAAAAATGAAACACGTAACAAATCAATAATCCATATATTCTCTTTAAGCTT